TACATAAAAATAAATAAAGTGATTTTAAGTTACTAGTTACTAAGTAGGCTTTCTCAAGTATTGTACTTAAGTACAGACTTTGATATACCTGTACTTGCACAAAGCAACATTGTGTAACTTTTACACCTTAAAATAACGGCTTCAAAATCATTTTGACGCTACACTGACTTGTAACAGGGTGAATGGTCTGTTATTCCTCCTCTGTGCCTTCTATGTCTGTTCTTGCACTGTGTAACTTGGGTGTCCTGGTCGGGAGAAGTGTGTAACGTATCACAGCAATAAAACCACGTTCAGACTACAGGTCAAAGTGGCCCATATTAAATTTTTTTGGTCATATGTGGCTGAGATGTGATTTTGTTGTACAGTTAAAGGTCTGATTTGTTTGCAATGTGACCTCAGTGTGAACAGTGTGTTCTTTAAGCAGCAGGGGGAAAGGCTTCTGTTGTACCCTCACTGTACAGGTAGTTAAGTGAGCATGAACAGTGAGCTGGTAGTCAGAGCTAACTGAGTTAATCATGGAGCAGAGCTGTCAGACTTTTTGTGTCGATGCTGGAAACACAAAGAGTGGGCTCGGGCTTCATAGGCTCTAGAAGCACATTCACAGCTGTTTCTGTGTGGTACCTGTGTTGTAGCTGAGCGGCTCAGAGAGGCTTCCCTTCCCTGATAAAAAGGCGTTAACACTCTTTATACAAATGTCTTATAATACCAAACAGTTGACTTGTCAGCATTGGCCTTCAAGGTCCAGGCGATTTAAAGAAGCAAAGCAGCAGATGGCATGTTGAGCTATTTTCAACCCTATAAATGCTATTTTTTTTAAAATTGTGTGTTAACATTAACAGCATTGATAAGTTTCATCTCAGTACAGTCATATAATCTACTTAACAGCTCAAGAAAAGTGTGAAGTACCTTTTCAGTGGTCAAATTTATGATTAAGCAATGTATATGCCAGATCACAACACTGTTGCAAAACTTCTGTTTTTTGGGGGGAACCACAGCATTTCTCCCCAGTCACTACAGTCTGCATGTCTCAAGCATCTACATGTGAGGGTGCTCAGTCCTTAAGTAGCTTACACTGATACTTTAATACAGTTTCTCTTCCGTTTCCAGTCATAGCTGACTTGGCAGGTCATTCACGTATCTGGTATATTAATAATCCAGACTTTCCGGGCATTATTCATATATGGGTCATTGCAGGCACTCAAGGTAGCCTCAGCAATTTGGACCGTATGTTCTGCTTATTGCTACATCGTCATTGCTTTCACAGACTGTTAAAATCATCATGGCATTCAGTCTGTTAC